GTTAAAGCACGAAGGGTCTCCTATATGCCAAGCATACTTTTCTCCAACACAAGGCGCTGGCCCTAAACATTCTGCTGGGTGCATGAAGAAATCCAGGGACTAAGTGAGAAAAAGCCCAGATAAACTCTTCATGATTTCTGCATGCTTGGGGCAAAGGCACTTCCAAAACTCAATAAACAGTGGAATAGCTCATAAACAGGTTTAGTATAATAAAATTCAACAAGCAGAGATTGTATAATATTATTTTTTAATGAGATAGAGCCTTAGCGTGTCCTGAGGTAATCCTTTCCTCTCTCTCTGGATTCAGGATTCCCACCCCATCCAGGATATTACCAAGTAGAGGCACCTTCACTGCACTGAGTCAGAAAATCTCAGGGGTGGCGGTCTCGGGCTCCAGGAAATCAAATGAGGGCTGAGAGATCAATAAGAGCCTTGTGAGGAAACAGCAAAGCCCTAACCCCCTTGGATACATCCAGTGACATCCTCCTAAAGGCACTGGCTCATTAAATCTCACGGGAAGGGAATAAAGGGCTTTCCTGGAGGCCAAGGTCCTGGGACTGGATTAGACATGTATTTAGCAATGACAAATGCGGAAGGCAAATGTACAGAAAGGAAACTTTTGGAGAAGAGCAGTCGCTTCTAATACTCTCTGATAGCCAGGAGAAAAGCAATCTGTAGCAAAATATTTAAACCCTATACCAGAATCTAAACCTTGTGCCATTTATCTTCCTGTTTTGAACCATATCACTTTATCCAAGGGTGCAGAAAAAGTGAAAGGCAACAAACTAAGTTAGTGAGGTTCAAATAAACATTTCTGTGTATTCTTATAAATAAATAAGGTTTGGCTGTTAAGAGAGATTCACTTTAGTACTACCTGGTGGTTGGGACGAAAAAACTTCCTTTTTGGCCCATGTGCCATCACCAAGAGGCATGCCTTGGACTATGTACCAGTGCCCTCCAACTTGTCACCCCAAACATCCTCTTTAAATCCTCTGTATCCCTGTACATCCATCCTCTGTGTCCCTGTACATCCACCCCCTGTGTCCCTGTACATCCATCCTCTGTGTCCCTGTACATCCACCCCCTGTGTCCCTGTACATCCACCCCCTGTATCCCTGTACATCCATCCCCTGTGTCCCTGTCCTGTCATCTTTCATATCCACCTACAGTCATCCACTGTACCCCTCTATGTGGATGTCTGATTTTCCATTTCCACACAGTCCAACACTGGCCTGTACTATTTCTAGGCTGAATTTGTCACCACTTTTCTTTCCTACTGCAAGCAGCCCATTGGACTGAAGTAGCTGTATCACAAATCATCTGATATGGAGAATTACTATAGGTTGAATCAATAAATTGAAGAGAAGTCCCTTTGGAACAATCACTGATTATGAAATTGTTACTCATTACAAGTTTTCTCTTTTTTTCTCCCTGCTTAACTCTTTGGCCCGCATATAAGCTTCTGGAGAAGCGACTGCTTGGTACTCCTGATTTGGATGTCTAGCTAGGGTTTCCCTTTACCCTAAGAGAAAGAGTGTGCTTTTGGTGCTCACTGAGCGACTTAATTTCTCTCCCTTTACCCATCTCCATCCTACGAGCTGCCACACTTTCACCCATACTCACAACACACTCATTTTCCGCATTGACTTGGCTGTCACTGAAATATATGGAGCCAGTTATTTATCCAGTTACAGAGGTTTATTAAAGCAGAATAAAGTATGCTCAATTATGAGAGGCTTGGAAGATAGGGGGGGCTCCCTGAACAGCCTGGCACAGCAGAAAGAAAGAGTCAGGCTGCGTGGCCTGACTGGAGAGGCCCAGGAAAGGCCTCTCTCACAGCCTTGCTGGCCACGACTCAAAATCCTGACTCGGCAGCTCCTTGCCTGCTGTCAGTCAGCAGATCACTGAATTCAGCTGGAGCCCAACTCTGCCCTTTCAGTCATGTGACCTTAACCAAGCCACTGTCTCAGAGCCTCAGGGTCCTTTTCTGGGGAAAGAAAATAATAAACCTCAAGAATTTGGGGTGTTATTATATGAGATATGAGATATATTAGGTTAAATAACAACACTTCAGTATACGATAGGGAACATTTTTAAGTGACAACACTCTCTAGGAGTTGTAACACATTAAACTGCTATCTACTAGATGCTATAGCAACCCAAATCAGTTTTCTGATTAACTTTACCAAGAGCAGGATCTTGAGAAGATTTTATAATGTGAATATATTTGAGGTGTCTTAGGAACATGCAGAAGACTAGTGATACTTAAAGGGGCATGACTGTCTGAAACAAAAATGAAGAACAAGTGGAAAGCCAGCTTGACCAGGTCCTCCAAGAATGAGGCTGAAAAATGTTAAGTAACATGATTAACTGTTTTACAGTTGGGTTAGTTTTTGCACTTTGCAAGTTCCCCAAATGAAAGCTGTGCAAAAAACCACACCAATATACCAGTGTTTGGGGAAGTAGTAGTACTTTTTATATGATTTCACATTTCCCTGCCTGAACACATGGAAGTTCCACCTACGTGTATTAAACTAACTTAACTAACTTCTGGTCCTTCAAACTGTAGCTACCACTTTTCCTTGAAATCTAATTATCCAAGCCCATATCTACCCCAGGTATTGGCACAACTGTGCCTGTTTTTATTAGGAAATTCATCATGCTTGTCCATTTATTGCTAACTAACTGGCTTTTTATTTTCTACTGTGTGACACGTTCCTCAAGGGTAGAGACTATCATGCTCTTGCTTTCTCTGTACAGAGAATTGCTTGACTGCATCTTCACAAATGGGAGTTCAGATCATTTTCTTGATCCTTGGTAGGTTGGTTGTTGATCAAATCCTGCAGCTAAAATTAAATGCTGATGCTCTACCAGAGATTGTTTGCCACAGAAAGAGACAGAAGATGGGCTGTGTCCTGGCTCTAAAGATAATGGAAAGGGTTATGAAATATGCTACAACCTCTGAGTTACCAGAGGTATTGACAGACCCAGAGTTTAGTGAAAAGGCATTTTGAAGAGTTCTGAGCATAGCCAAGGTGACAGAATTAAGTCAGCAGATGAGAGGTCCAAAGGGTAGCAAACTAGTGAGCAAGTCCAAAGAGGACCTCAAATCTGAGTACAAGAGATGATTGGTGGAAAGTCCTGGAGAAGAGAGAGTAGAGGCATTTCCACATAATGGTCTTATCTACCGCTTTCAGGTGATGTGGTATCATTCTTCACACTGCCTCCCAGCGTTGAGTAAATTAAGCCCATTCCTGGTCACTTGTTCCTTGGGAAGGGAAGGCACAAAGGCACTATTGAAAGGACTGTATCAGTGTGAAAAGGCTACACCATAGGAAATGAAACAGTGAGAAACGATCAAGAATTCAGCCAAAAATAGAGTGAGGGTTGAAGGTAATTAGAACACTTCCCCACTCAATAATTCTTTATATTCTACCTCCATATCAACTTCTCTGATGATGAAAAATGAAATAAAGATGCTTCCATTCAAGATTATAAATCTATACATCTCTAATGTTATCAATACTGAATGGGAATTAAAGAATAAACAATGAGTGATTTTAAGTTTCTGGTTACAGAGAATTTTGAACATGTTTTCTTGGCAACACAACCATCCAACCCTTTCACAAATAGCTCTCATGCTTGTAGATGCCATTTAGTAATAATTTATCTGCAGAGGTCTTCTAAATTCATCTATTTAGCTAACTGCCACTGAGTTTTACTGCACAGGAGTGAGTCTTGAGGGACAAAGTATTAACAGAGACATGAGTTATAGTTGATTTGCAGGATCCATGATGCTGTGATAGAAGTCACTACAGGGTAAAGTTGGACCCCAAAGAATGAAGCAGACCATCCTTCCTCCAGTCAACTTCACCTGAATTAGCTCGTGTCAGGGTGCCAGGAGTACAGAAGGCCCCCAGGCACCTGGTCTTGGGGCCCTGGCAGCCCCAGCATACCCTGAAGAGGTGGTTGGTTTATCCAGCAGAAAATGATGGAGCCAAACCTTTGGTCCTCTCCTCCCAGAACTGAGGTTTTAACTCAACCTTAAATTTCATTTGAAACAGTCCCTATTGTTTAACAGTGAAGGGAAAGTGCTTAAATAAATTTCAACTGAGTTGAAAGCAGCTTGACCTAGGAATCCCTGATAATACTGAGCAGCATTTGATGAACATGTGAAATTTAAAGCCAAAACCAAAGAATGCCTAAGTTCACTCAAAGCAAAGTAGATTTGGAAGTGTTCTGTACACTTTTCATAATCATTACAATGAAAAACAAGCAGTGCACCCAAAGAACAGAGGGAAGGTTGATATCATGGACATGGGAACAAAAGACTAACCTGTATCTGGCAAAGGTAATTTGGTGTGAGACAGTAAGAGGGACCCTGGCACCAGCTAGCTATACCAGAGTGCAAATTCTGCATCTCCCTTAGTAGTGTGTATGACCTTGGGAACATTGTTTAACTTCTCTGCAACCCACATTCCTCAACCTTAAGATGCAAAAGTGAGAGAATTATAAGGAATTAATAGGTTGTTAATGGGTTAAATAGATGCTCAATAAGCATCAATTTTCTTTGTGGTATTTTTATTGGCAGTAATAGGTTTGGCTGGTGACTAAAACAGTGGGGAAATGAGAGAGCTAAAACACAGTCTGGTAGTTATAAATCCTTATCTGCTTCCACTCGTCCTTCCCAAACTTATGTTCCACACATTTTAGAAACACTGACTACATCACAAAACTAAATACTACATTTTATTATTTTTTAAGGGAATGCTCAGAATATAAGGAGGTGATGGTAGGACAATATGCTTTATAGCACAAACCTCAGTCATAGCCCTAAAAGTATTAGAACTAGCAATTTTCAAAGTTAAGGACTATCACAATCATTAGGAAGCCCTAGTGTATACTGGATTTCTCATCCATATCTTTTTCTCTTGGGGGAAATGTTATGCATGAATTAATGTGCTTCCTCCACACCTGCAGAAAGGTTATGATCCAATTACCATTCATCCTTGTCAGCATCACAGTTGCAAAAGTGCCGAACGTCCAGGCAAAGCTCATCCAGGCCACATTCACATTGCTGGACTCCGGGAGGAGCACCTCCCCAGTACGGGTGCCTCTCCTTTGACCGGCCCATCCACCAGGTAAAGGGAACTCCATCTGAAAGACAAGGCATTTCACAGTCAGAGGGGCAAGCCTGGAACAGCACAGCAGCTGTCACAGACCCTGAGGGAGAAACGCCGAGAAGAATACATACACACACACACACACACACACACACGCACACACACATATACTCCTCTTTCTTTTTCTTTTCTTCTCCCCCAGTTTCTCTCTCTCTCTTATACTCATGTATATGTATATGGATAGATATCTATATCTACATATGTTTGTACTTATAACCAATAAGTTCATGTGTGTGTGTATGTATATAGTAGGATATTGATTAATCACAATGTTCAGAGGCAGGTTCACGAACTTAAATGCTTACAAATCAAGAAGGTATCACAACTGAGTAAATAAACTGAGNACACACATATACTCCTCCTTCCTTTTCTTCTCCCCCAGTTTCTCTCTCTCTCTTATACTCATGTATATGTANTTTTTCTTTTCTTCTCCCCCAGTTTCTCTCTCTCTCTTATACTCATGTATATGTATATGGATAGATATCTATATCTACATATGTTTGTACTTATAACCAATAAGTTCATGTGTGTGTGTATGTATATAGTAGGATATTGATTAATCACAATGTTCAGAGGCAGGTTCACGAACTTAAATGCTTACAAATCAAGAAGGTATCACAACTGAGTAAATAAACTGAGTCGTATTTAAGACTAAAAAAATTAATATATAGGTACAAAAGTTAATTTTTCTTTAAACCTATCAATGGAAAGCAATCCTTCTGAGCATCATACTTAACCCATAAAAGCTAGTGCGTAACCTTGCCCTTGTTAAGTTTTTCCTTTGTAAAGTTTAGTTTAGTAAAATTTGTTGGATATTTTTTTTATGATTTGAAATGCTTCTGTAAATTAAAATTATTATTCATGAGACGATAATGTATGAAAACCACAATTCTAGGCAGAGGTGGAGGTATTTAATAAATACAGTTTTAGGCTGAATGGGGTTAGGTCTCCCTTCCCTTCCGTAATTGCTATTTTGGTCCTGTTGAGCATAAAACAGGCACTTAATGTGTGTTTAATTTTAAAGATGAAAAAAATATTAGGGTCAATTGTTAATGATTTACCACTTTAAAGTAGAATAATATTATTGCCTGAGAATGCTACAACATTGAAATTAAATTTTGCCTAGGCGGGATTTAATTTTTATGCAACCGTTGATTTATGAACATATATTGAACAGATTATTTATGTACACAAAGAGCAGCAACTTTCTGTGGATCGTTCTCACTACTCAAGTTCCAAGATCACTGAGGCAAATAGGAAAAGCAGTGGCAACCTGGGGCTCTCCCCAAATCCTTAGGTCATGAGAAACAGGTGAGGAAGGTGCCATGAAAGGCAGAAGTCTCTCGGGGTGTGCAGCCAGGGCAGGCAGCCTGCAGGGCCATACTCACCCCAGCATTTCACTCTTCTTTTAGCCTAAAATGTTTCAAGCCTTTCTATTTTCTTGAAAGCTAGAGTTACAGTTATAAATGTCTGTAAACAAATATTCTAAATGCTGAACTATTTTTCCTTGTTTCAAACAGCTCTAAATCATTGAACACTGTACTGCTTCTTTCTAATTCTTAGCCCAGATAAGCCGCCCTCAGGTGGCCGAGGGGGCTGCTTGGTTTATTTAGAGCATAAAGCTCTTTTAGGCCTGGGGAAAGCTTAGGTGAATCTTCCCAGTGGTGAGTCCAAGCAGCACAGGGGGAAAGCGTTTTGCATTTGCATATGTTTGTCGATGCTATCTTTGCGTCCAAGAAATGGAAGGACTTTCTCTGCCTCTCCCTCCCTCTAGCTCCGCTCAGGACTGTCCCCATAATCTAGAATCCAAATCACACAGCAAAGTTCAATGTCATCATGGACTGTTTTGTACAAAACCTAAACCAAGGTTTTAATTATATTAACATCGTTATAAATGGCACGAGTTCTGAAAGAACAATTTGTGCACAGCTTCTGGAGCATATGCTCCCTCCCAGGAGTTTTACCAAATCTTGATGGTATTCTGAGCCCCTGGAGAAGTCCATCACCAGCACAGGCTTAGTGTTGCCGTGAACCCATCAGGGTCCTGTGCCACTAAGGCTTGGGGTCCCTTCCTCATGTCTGGAAGTTAGAATAAAGGGGGCAAATTGTTTAAACTGATTGTTGATGAGCAAGAAGAAAGGGGAGAGAAGAGAAACAAATGCGCACACACGTATATGAGAGCAGGGGGGTGACGGCTAAATTTTCTTCCCAGCTGTCTTGTCTTTGTGTTTCCTTCCCTGCGAAGTACTAGATGGAGCACAAAACACAAAAACTGGAGATTACATGTGCCTTCATTCAAGACTCAACAGACGTAGACAGGAATATAAGGCATAATTTATACATATATAACATATCTATCTTGAATATATCCATAATATATACTATAATTTTACATACACATTACATATATTCCTACAAAAATATTTACTGAAGATCCATAATATTACAGGAACTATTCTAGGCACTTGCGTTAAATCATTTAAATAAACCAAAATAAATACACACAAAAAAACCTGCTCTCAAAAGAGTATATTGTAATTATGAAAAGTAGACAACAATGATAAATAAATAATTTAGTAATTAGAAAGGGGTAGGGTATGGAAACAATACATGAGGCCAAGAAAGAGGGAGGTGTGTGGAAAGAAGGCTGTGCCACAATTTTAGAATCGTCAGGGCAGAATTGAATGAAAGCATACACTGAGCAAAACTTGAAGGCAGGGGCACGTTCCAACTGGCTGGCTACCTGGAGAAGAGTAAATGGTCAAAGTAAAGGTCAAAGAGCAAGTCAGGCAATTCTTAAAATCTACCACCAGGTTTTTTTAAAAATTAAATTTATAGGAGTAACAATGGTTAATAACATTATATAATTTCCAGGAGTACAAGCTTGTAATTTGACATTTGTGTACGCTATTGCACGCCCCCATCGAAAGTCTGATTTTCTTCTATTACCACTGATTCATCTCCCTTTATTCCCTCCCACCTTCCCCCACCTTCTTTCCCTTCTGGTAACCACCATTCTGTACATATGAGTTTGGTTGTTTGTTTTGTTAGAGTCTTTGTTAGTTTTTGTTTTATATTCTACATATAAATGAAATCATATGCTTTTTTTTTTAATATATCTTTACTGATTTCAGAGAGAGGAAGGGAGAGAGAGAGAGACATCAATGATGAGAGAGTCATTGATCGGCTGCCACCTGCAAGCCCCCTCCTGGATCAAGTCCACAACCTGGGCATGTGCCCTGACCAGGAATTGAACCGTGACCTTCCGGATCATAGGTCTATGCTCAACCACTTGAGCCACACCCACCCTGGCCATATGCTTTTTGTTTCTTCATCTGACTTATTTAACATAATACTCTCAAGATTCATCCACGCTGTCACCAATGGCTGTGTGTGTGTGTGTGTGTGTTTATATATATATATATATATTGTATATTTGGTCTTTAATTGATTAAAATAATTCTGTTGCTTTAGAGAATTCAAAGACAAAAAATAATTCTCAGATTTTCACAAATGACCAAGCTGGCTTTTTCTTTCGGGTTTGTTGTGTATGTTTCTAAGCCACTCAATTAACAAGATCAGGATACCATTTCTGGATGTTAAAAGTCCCTTTATGGAACTACAGGCCTTTTCTTTATATTGCTCTTTTTTAGCAGTCAATACCAGCCACCAGGAGGAATGGTCACTACTAGGTCATCGTTTCTTTTGAAGTGACATTTGCTCAATACATTTTTGTCTTGGCAATAATTGAAAAAAGTCAAAATGGTGTAAAGGCGTAAATGTCATATTCCCCCAATGCAGTATATGTGAAGTTTTTAAAGGTTCCCGGACTCTCAAGACAGGTTAATTAAAGGCTTCACATGGCACATGGAAATTTGCACAAAATTTGCTTGACCACATTATTTTCCTTACTGCATGGAATGACTCCCTTAATTAAAATGTCTAGCACGTACTGTAATGTCAATAATCCATGTTTATTGTTACTTACTTTCTTTTGGATTATTTTATTTCATTTCCCATTGTCAGTTGGTAATGTATTTTTGTGTTTTTTTTAATTTATTTTATTGTTGAAAGTATTACAGATGTCCCTCATTTTCTCCCCTTTACCCCTTGCCCCCCATCTCCCACCCCTCCCCTCCATACTTCTTCCCCTGTCTACTGTCTGTGTCCATGGGCTGTGCATATATGCTTATAAGTTCTTTGGTCAATCTCTTCTCACCCTTCTTCCCTCCTTCCCTCTGAGATCTGTCAGTCTGTTTCATGATCCATGTCTGTAGTTCTATCTTGTTTGTCAATTTATTTTGTTCCTTAGATTCCACATTTAAGTGAGATCATTTGTCTTTCTCAGACTGGCTTACTTCACCTACCATAATACTCTCCAGCTCCACCCATGCTGTCCCAAAGGGTAAGAGATCCTTCCTCTTTACAGCCGCATAGTATTCCATAGTGTAAATGTCGCACAGCTTTTTTTATCCACTCATCTACTGATGGGCGCTTGGGCTATTTCCAGATCTTTACTATTTTAAATTGCATTGCTATGAACATAAGGGTGCATATGTTCTCTCTGATTGGTGTTTCCGGATTCTTGGGATATATTCCCAGAAGTGAAATCACTGGGTCAAAAGGCAGCTCCATTTTAAGTTTTTTAAGAAACTTCCATACTGCATTCCACAGTGGCTGCCCCAGTCTGCATTCCCACCAGCAGTGCACCAGGTTCCCCTTTCTCCACACCCTCGCCAGCACCTGTCATATGTTGATTTGTTGATGGAGCCATTCTGAAGGGTGTGAAGTGATACCTCATTATGGTTTAATGTTCATCTCTCTGATGACTAATGACCTTGAGCATTTTTTCATATGTCTGTTGACCATCTGTATGTCCTCTTTGGAGAAATGTTTACTCATATCCTTTGCCCATTTTTTAATTAGATTTTTCTCTTCCTCTTTTTCAGTTGTATAAGTTCTTTGTATATTTTG